CCTGTTGAGCATTCACACACACCTTTTTGCACAAGAATTCTTGTGCAAAAAGGAGATATGCCTATTAGAAAGAGGTATACCTACCCAGCAAAAAGCCCTCAGTTCTGTTGATTATAGATTTTCTTGCACAAAAATGTGCTTGAGGTGTGGACACTCCATGGGTTTTTGCGCAAAAACGGCTGCTTTTGTGCAAAAACCTTGTAGTCTAGACATACCCTGTGATACAGGAAGTGAAGACAGGAAAACACACTGGCATTGTAAACAGACAATGGATGTTTTGGTAAAGTGGTGGTACTGAACAGTTGGTTTCATTCATTGTGATTGGAGAGGGTTCAGAGAAGAGCAACGAAAATGATTAAAGGTCTAGAGAACAGGACCCTATGAGGGAAGAATGAAGGAATTGGGTTTGTTTAGTTTAGAAAAGAGAAAATTGAAGGGAGACATGATAGCAGTTTTCAGATATCTAAAAGGGTGTCATAAGGAGGAGGGAGAAATCTTGTTCATCTTGGCCTCTGGGGATAGAACAAGAAGCAATGGGCTTAAACTGCAGCAAGGGAGGTTTAGGTTGAACATTAGGAAAAAGTTTCTAACTGTCAGGGTAGTCAAACACTGGAATAAATTACCCAGGGAGCTTGTGGAATCTCCATCTCTGGAGATATTTAAGAGTAGGTTAGATAAATGTCTATCAGGGGTGGTCTAGACAGTATTTGGTCCTGCCATGAGGGCAGGGGACTGGACTCAATGATCTCTCGAGGTCCCTTCAGTCCTAGTATTCTATGATTCTATGATTTTTTGTCAAATAATTACAGGGGACCTAAAGATTAAACTTAACATCCGTAGGTCCTAATTTAGAAGTACTTTATCACATGACTCACTTTAAGCATTTTAAGTAGTCCTATTGAATCTGAGAAAATTTTGATCAGTTTTGATGCTTAACTTTACAACATCTGTGTATAGTGAGCATATCATAGCAGATACCTAAGGGAGCTGTGAATTTCATCAGCTCCAAAAATCAGGACCTTGATCAGAATCCTGGAAAAGGCTTAATTTTAAGCATGCAAGTATTCCATGGAAGTCCACTAAAAGTATCTTGATTTCAGAAGATAGATAGATAGATAGATAGATAGATAGATAGATAGATAGATAGATAGATAGATAGATAGATAGATAGATAGAGTTGCTGATAAAATTCATGGACAATTTTATAGGCTTTGTAGATGGTCCTTTTTAATATATGTTCCTCCGTGTAAAGACTAACCAATATGAAAAGCTGGTGTGTGCAAGGGATTTCATTGTGCATATAACAGCACAGTAACAACTAGTATCCCTAATAAAGGCAATGAAAATTTGCTGCTTGACTTGTACTGTGCATGCTTTAAGCACAGGCCAAGGCTACATCTACACTACAACATAAACTCAATTTAAGCTTTTCAACTCCAGCTACGTTTTCCACATAGCTGGAGCTGACAGACCTTAAATTGAGTTACCACGGGATCTACAATGTGGAGAGTTGACAGGAGAAATTCTCCTGTTGACTTCCCTTACTCTTCTTATCCCAGGTAGAATACCAGAGTTGACAGGAGAGCAATCTGCAGTTAATTTGGCAGGTTTTCGCTAGACTCACTAAATCAACTGCCAGTGGACTGATCTCAAAGCATCAATCCAGGTGGTAGTATATATGTAACCTAAGCATGCTCTTTGGTTTCTTTGTTTTTTCCTATTCAATGACAGAGTTCTGTTGCTAATATTAGGTAATATTGATTGTCCAATGTATAATAGTAGGGATTATTTTTTATCGTAAATGCATTCAGAAGATAACAGTAAAGGTTAAAATAAGTAAATGGAGCGAACGTCGCGTGGACATCTGAAAATAATCAGATTGAAGATTTATGTAGCCATGATTTTTTTATAAGTGTCTCAATGAGCAGTAACCTCTTTCTTGCAAACCAGTCTCAAAATATATTTGCCCAAAACATGGGAAATTTTTCATTTTTGAATTTTTTCTTTTTTCATGCTGGAATGACTCCATTATTTATTAAATCCCATATGCTGGAAATCCTCCTTCCCCAAACACACAATTCTCTGTCAGAAACACCAACAGATGGTGTTTCTGAAATGCAATATGCTCTCTGGGAACCTGAGAGCTGATGAATGAAATTGACATTTTTGTTAGTTTCACTGCTGCCCCAGAATTCAGAATTACAGCCCTGAGAATTCTAGCTAGAGCTAAGGTTCTCAGGGCTATCAGGCTCCCTGTTGTGGAGCTGTGAGCCAACCCTGAGTTATAGCTGGGGCTCCTATGACTTTCAGGAGTCATTATAAAGAAATGGGAGGCCTCCTTGTCCTGAAGAGCCTGGGGAATGGGGCTGGGGAGGCTGAGCGTCCTGGCTGTTTGACTGTGCAGTCTTCCAAGAAAGGTTTTGTCAATTTCACTGCAATGGCACAAGAGCATTACAGAAAGGACAGTCAAGGAACTATCCTTCTTGATTCATACAGACACCCCCATCAGAAAACTGGGGTTTTTTTTGGCCAAACTCAAATTTTCTCATTTTTTTAAAGGGGGACTGTTATGCCATGGACTCCCCCTCAGGCTTACAGCCATTTTTCATCATTGGGGTTTACCTGCCAGCGGCAGTCATCCTTCCCGCGAACCCCAGTGCTTCCCCCTTTCTATGTTCCTCGGTTCCCCAGTCACCCAGTGATTTCTGCGAGTCTGTTTCAGTTCTGCCGGACTTGCTGAGATTGGCGTGCAGCAGGAGAGGAGGGGGACTCAGGCCCACCCCCTTTCCGGGTCCCAACCCAGGACCCTAAAGACAGCAAATAGGATTCGCTGTCTGGTTGGTGGGAAGCTTCCCCGTAACTCACCAATCCTCGGGGAAAGGTTGCTTCACCTCCAATCCTCATCCTGGGCTGCTTCCTCCTTCCTGCTGTGGTTATCAGCCTGGCATGGATCCAGGCCAGGTCCTCCGTCTCGTTTCCCCCCACACCGGGGGTCCCCTCCAGCTTCCTTCCTTTTGGTGCTCTCCTCCTCATGCTGTGGGCTCGTGGAGCCATTTAAACTACCGCTGAACGCAGCCATGTCCGGTCTCTTCCCTGTAGCCCTGCTCCCACTGCTTTCCCATGACATCACCATCGCCCCTTCATCGCCAGCCTCCTCGTGGTCCCCGCCAGCCCTGGAGCATGCCGGGCACGAGCGCCAGCGGGTAGCGCGGGAGGCCGTGCGTTTGGCTGTCTTTGGGCTCTGCATCTCCCTCGCTACACAATCGCTGCCAAGCACTTCTCCCAGTGGGTGTGAAGTACAGGGCACCAGGCGCTCTATCCGCTCGGAGCCCAGGGCCCTGTCACAGGGACATTTTTTCATCAAAAAAATCATTCCAGCAGGAAAAAAACCCTGACTATCTCTACATGGAATCAATTCAAGAATTGGTCTACACTAGACATTTTTTGCATGAGTGCAGTTGCATCGGTACAAACCATTGTATGCATATATTACACTGGGGGTAAGAGGGTTCAAACAGTGCAGCCTATCCCTTCTTCTTCCTTTATTTTTTCACAAGTGCAAGTGTAGTGCAGCTGCATTACTGAATCTACACCTTTGTGGAAACCACTCTTCCATCCTTAACACACAGCATAGTAGAGGCAAACCAAGGCCCATTGAGAATTTAATATATCTAAAGCCTACTGTACCTACTAAAATTTGATTTTATTTTTCAATCAACCATTTATACACATCATTGGTTCAAACATGGAAAAAATAGTGAGGGCCATTAGACACCAAATGTGACAGTTTAAATAGTATCTGGTTTTGATGTATCTGCTTTGGCAAAAGAGTAATCAGCATTTTCATAAAGTGAAAAATGTAATGTTCCCAATCATTCATCAGCTAAAAATGACAAAATAGATTATATCCATACTTTTGCAAATAAAGCAAGAAAAAAAGGCTTTCCTGGAAATAATTAGGAAAGAAAAACAAACACTTGAATTTAATACTATGGTGGCCAGCAAGAGAGGAAGTCCCACAACCCGGAATTGCCCTTTTAGAATGATAATCTTAGCTCCACCTATATCTGATTAGCTGCCTCCCAGGTTGTGGGTATGAATCCAGGGATTGGGTTATAAACTCTAGATCAGTGATTCCCAACCTTTCTCCCATGGAGGCACCCCTAAAATAATTCTTCATTTCCCGAGGAACCTCTACCTATGAAAATGTTTGCTTGGCCAAAAAAAGTCGACAGAGGGGAGCGCAATTCAATTACTGCTAAATTAGTGTAAGAAAATTTATTTGTAAAGAGCTGTTATATATATATATATATATATATGTCAGCTTACATTTGTAAGAAAATTGTTTTTATTTATTTATTCCACGATTTCTTGTGGAACCCTGACAATGGTCTGCAGAACCCTGGTTGGGAAACGCTGCTCTAGATGATCTGATCCTTCAATAAATGATCAACACAAGATTATAGCAAAAGAGAACTCAGTAGGGAACAAAACACCATGGCTGAAGAACTTAGATGGGGCTTCTCCACATGAGCTTGGTAGAAGACTAGCTTTGGAGAAACCTGTGGCGTAGGGAGGGGCAGAAATTTTACTTGGAAGATGCTATAAAACTCATCTTAAATAAATTAATACAATAAAATAATGTTAAAATCAAACCAAAATATTTTCAGTGACCTGGAACTAAGTATTTTCGAAAATTACATATTGTGGGAAAATATGGCTTTTTGTTCTAAATTGGAGCTCTTTTTTAATGTCAAAATTTCCTGGAATATGGAAATATTGATTCCTGACCAGCCCTAATAATGAGTACATGAATAAAACTGACTTATCTCAAGTTACTGTTGATCATGTGCAACATAAGAAGTGAAATTCTGTCTCCACTCATGTCCATGGAATCTTTGCCACTGTTGTCAGTGGGCCTAGGATTTAACCCTATACGTCACATATTATGTTTATTTGTATGACTCACTTTCAAATTTTAGCCCTTGGTAAATGAATACCTTTTTCAGTTTGATGACCCCTTCTTGGGTGTTGTCATCTGTGGTGATGTCAAATAAATTCCCTCCATCTCCTGGAACAATGTTGTATTCAATTTCTGCATTTTTCCCAAAGTCAGGATCCACAGCTCTGATTTTTCCAATAGCTGCACCAACAAGTGAGGACTCGGGTACTTTCAAATGGAAGATACCTGGGAAAAAGTATTAAACAATAATTTGTGTAAGTTAACACAAGACACCTGATCAGGAAAAAGTACCCAGTATTAAAATAAATCAGCCTTTGTAAAAATGATGTGCTCACAAGAAGATCACATTACAAAAGAAAAGATGTAGTATGACAAGTTAAGTTCACAAAGCCCCCAAATATGGGTCTACAAACTCTGGAGAGCTTAATTGTGTCTTTTAAAAATCTGTTTAAATAGCTGATTCTTTTCAGTTTGTAGTTAGTGCACATTTATGAGCATTACTACATAGTCTACTGAAGATGTTTTAATGAATGGCCTGTGGCCTGAAGCCTTAGCCTGAAAGGAACTCACTAGAATCATCTCTTGGTGAAATGGGAGTGGCCTAGACGAGCTTAAGCACTGGGACTGCATTGGCAAAGTAGTTGGAGAACTGGCATCTGTTGGAGAGCAAAGATAGTATACTGAAAGAACCAGGCCTCATTTTACATTTCAGTTTTGTGATGGTTTGGGGCATTATGGTTAAAATTCAGTTAAGTGTTGAGTATGGAGGATGACAAAATGGAAGTGACCTTGTGGGAAAATGCAAGGCTCAAACACTGATATTAAACATGCATGCTGTCAGGCAGAACTGGGTAAGGAAATTTGGACAGAATGAAGGAAAAAGACTATTGTCTGCTATTGGGAGAGCCTGCCGATCAGTAAGGGCCCTTTCAAGGTCCTAAGACTCAATGCTATCTCTCTAAGAGCTGAATCAAGACTGCAGTATTGTGGCGTGTGTAGACTGATGACAATTTCAAGCCAGTAGCAGCAGCATGGTGGCAAGAGAGGCTATGACTAGACTACAGAGTTTTGTCAGAAAAACTGCCATTTTCTCGACAAAACTTGAGTTACGTCCACACTGCAAGAGCGTTCTTTCGACAGTAAATGAAAAGAGCAGAGGGCTTTTTGCGCAATTGGTAATCCTCATTCTACAAGGAAGAAGCCTATTGCGAAAGAGCTCTTTCAGAAAAAGGCGTGTGTGGATGAGGAAGAGGGAGTTTTTTCAGAAGAAGAGGGAAGAGGAAAAAGCACAGGTGCCCTAGTGGCCATTCTGTCCATAGCAATCACTGCTTACATGTGAGATAGCATCCAGGCAGTCTGTGAGATCTTTCAAAAAAGCGCATTGCTTTTTCGATGTGCTTTTGCAATGTGGATGCTCTCTTGTGCAAGAAGTTTTTTTGGAAGCTCTCGTCTAAAAAAAGCTTCTTGTGCACGAAATCTGTAGTTTAGACGTAGCAAGAGGGTACAGGGCAGCAGTAGCATTAGCTCAACAGTGCCAAGTGAAGCAGAAGCAGCGGTTCTACAAGGACTCAGACTCACACCATGCTCAGACTGGAGATGGCACCAGGGGCGGATGAGAGTTTTGCGGGGCCCAGGGGCATGGGGCCTATTGAAGTGCGGGGTGCGGGGCAGCACAATTTCACACATGTGCCACGGCCACAGCCGACAGGTAGTAGCATGTGTGCAGGGCCTATTGAAGCGTGGGGCCTGGGGCAGCCACCCCGCTTGCCCTGCCCTATATCCACTGCTGGGTGGCACCTTCAAAGGATGGATGGTGTGGCATGGCAGCACAGATAGGCAGCTTGGTTTGAAACCTTAGAGAAAGCAGACACCTACCCAAGTTATTCTCAGGTGGCCCTCACTATGAGCGATTAAAGTAGAAGTCACTCCAGCTGTCAGGAAGAACTGGGTAAGAAATTAGCTAGTACGGTCCCATAACCAGTCCCAAATTAATCAAGAATACTTGAATTTCTCTAACTCAGGACAGCTAATGGTGAGTAGGGAGTGAGGAGGAGGGCAGAGGCTAAAAGACAACAGCTAGTCCTGGTGGCCAAAGGAGGACTGAGAACAGGGTTATGGTTAAGACACTTTAGAAAATGAGTCTTTTAGTGATACCAACACCTAGTTGAATGTTTGATACACTATTTTAACAGTTAAATTTTGTTTTGGTTGGAAAACCAAGAAGCATGTATCCATCCATTTTATAGTGATCAATATACCCGCTGAAATTAATTTGCAACTTTTGGAGTTCAGCATAGTAAGATTGGCTTGGTTCACTTTTTCAATACCCCAATTCTCAACACCGAAAAATTACTAGAATCCAGTTACGTTGAATGACCCACTTGCAATTTTCCTGGTGTTTTTCCTTTCACCAATCGAAGTTTTGCATATGGCTCATTACATATGAAGATAAGTTAGACAAAACCTATGAACATTTACTTAAAACAAGGTGCCGACTCAGGTAGTTTTGACTACATATGATTGTGGTCTATGGAAAACTACACCAAGTCAATAATTCAGTCACACTTGACTGGAAAGGACTGGGTGAAGTCATTTCCCATCTAAAAGCAGGGCAGAAGACATTCACAATATTGAGAAAGCTGGAGGGCTCCTTGACTGTGGATGCAGGAAAGCCACCTCCTTTTTGGTCTTTAACTACACAGTATATTTGGTGTCAACTTATTAAAGCCTTGCAAAATTTTGCAAAGAGAATCATTCTCAAGGGATTTCATCAGCATTACTAGATTTGGAACAAACAGTTGCTTTCTTGTGAGTTAAAACACCCAGTAATTATTCATATCTATTCTGTGGTACATTCAATATTTGCTGGCCTCATTGGGGGTACTCTGTAATGCAGCTGCTTTCCCATTATTTTTCCCTTTTGAAATAACATGCTGAGATCTGTTTTTCAGCA